ATTGGGGAATATAGGTTAAAGGCGATTGAGATGATTAAAGCAATTAATTAACTTAATTTTACTTCTTTTCCAGCCCGTCAAAGTTGATGACTGCTTTTGGGGTTTGGGTATGCATTTCTGAATTATTTTCAGTGCTGATATTTGGTGTTTCTGTTTTCATTTAAGAATGTTTTTACTTGAACTTGTGATTATCATAATTGCTGATTGGATTATTCAAATTTTGCAGAGGACCGGAAATCAATATCCATTCTTTTGACAAAATAAAACCAGATGGAATGGTGGGAATGCTTGGTGAAAGGTGAGCCACGCAAAAAGTTGAACCAGAAAACAACAAATTAGCTGACCTCGACCCGGAGACATGTTCGACTGTTGAGAAGATGATGGTAAGGATTAAAGATAACTCTCCATTCATTGGTGCTGTTTTTTAGTTTTTCTAAATTAATAAGGAAAAATTGTTTCCAATAATTCATATTCTTTTCTCTCAGTTTGACGAAAGGCAGAAGCAAATGGGACTCCCAACAAGAAGTTTATGGCAGAGGTGAACAAGAGTAGCAAATCTTTTTTTTTTTCCTTTTTTTTTTCTAAAACATTCCATTACAGTGCACTGTAATTACAAATTCTAACTTCTTTTTACTGTGCTGATGCGAATTTTCGTTACGTTGCGAATTTGATGTGCCTGCCAGTACTAAATCTCAAGCTCTCATATGCTCCAAACGCGGCCGACGTTTTATCTCGCTTGCTTCAGTTGCGCTGGTCGAGGAGAAGACCGTAACAAAGACTGTTGTCATCAGAATTGGCACCAGGGGAAGGTGAACGTACTTCGTTGCCCCAGTTTGTTCTCTTAATTTTGATAGTTGAGTTGGTGAAGGGGACACTTGTGCTCATTTTGAATTCATGTGCGTTTGGATTGTAATGCATCTTTTGATTTTGTGAGCTGCAATCAGTTTATACGAAGTTAAATTATTACTATTTTTATGTTGCAGTTTTTTTAGTTTTTGTTTGTTTCTGTTTACCAGCTATAAAATTAAGAGCATGACACCTTCACAATTTGGCCGTAAGTGAAGGTGAGATTCCTGGGTATTTGTGTTCTATGGGGATTAGGCGATGGGGTGCAGAAACTGAGTACGGATATTGTGAAGATGGTATGCAGGGAGTGTTGTTGGTACTGCTTCTTTGAGAAGGAAGTCACAACTTCTCTATAGATATCCATCGCTAAAGGTAAAGAGTGTAGTGCTATTAATTTGTGTGTGGTTCATTGGTGAGATGATGTGTAATTAATTGTGTAGTGAATAGTAGAGACCATTATTTGTTTGTCATGAGTTCGTTGTTGTATGCCAAATATCACGGTCACTCTCATTTTACCTTTTCTCTTTAAAAGTTGTGCTCTTGAATGCATGTTTTGCATTTTCTTGCCTCTAATTATATGACCTTAAATAGGGTTCTATCTCTTGAGCTGGTTCATATCCCATTTGTTAATTTTGATAGTTGTTTTTTACGTTTTATAGGATATAAGGAACTAAGCATATGACTAAACAGTTTTATTTCAGTGAAAGTATATCTGGCTAAAACCCCTTCAGTATTGCATCTGTTTGTTTATATATTTTCTCGAAAAATAGGATTGATAATAAAAACAAACCCAGGCTCATTTTCTGTAATATATGCTCTCAGAGTACTTTCACTCTGAAAGATGTGTTAGATCACCCACTCACTGGTTGTAGCTAATCATTTTCATAACTTATGAATGCGATACCCTATAATGTTTATCGACTTAAAGGGTCTTGATACAGAATTCGTAAAGGTTATAGAAATCTGTCTCTGAGCTCTGACAATATAAATGCGATACCCTATATTGTTTATTGACTTAAAGGGTCTTGAT